CTGTCCAGCAGCGCCCTTGTCAAAGTAAGGATGGTGGACCAGAATGACAACCCTCCTGTCATCATCCACCCAGTGCTCACCAACGGGACAGCAGAAATTGGCGTGTCCAGCAAGACCTCTCGTGACTCCCTGGTGGCCCAGATCAAAGCTCGAGATGCAGATGATGGGGCCAATGCCGAGCTCACATTCGCCTTTCTGGAAGAGCCCCAGCAGGACCTCTTCACCATCAACCCAACCACTGGGGACATTGTGCTGAGGGGCGACCTCTCTGAAGACCTGGGGCAGCTGTTCAAGGTCATTCTCACTGTGACGGACAATGGCAAGCCCCCCCTGGCCACGACAGCCACGGTCAATTTTCTGGTGACTGCCACTGCTCCTTCCAGTATGCAGGAGATAGCCAAGCCCAGCTCCTGGGAAGGAAAGGCTTTGCAGTGGGATATCCCTCTGATCGTGATCATCGTCCTGGCAGGCAGCTGCACCCTCCTCCTGGTGGCCATCATCACCATCGCCACCACCTGCAACAGGCGCAAGAAGGGGAATGAGATCAAAAACAACTCATCCTTGAAGGACCAGATAGACATCTCCCACCTGGAGAAGGGCCATCAGGAGGAGGGCAGCCAGAGGGGGAATGTGTTTGAGGTACGAACCTTTCCCAGCAAAACCTCTTTCACCAGCCCCGACCCTTCTCCAGCTGCCAAAGAGATCTCCACTACTGAGAGCAGCAGCGACAGCACTTGCCTCTACGAGAGTCAGAAGAGGCTGAGAGGACCAAGTGGGGAGGTAAGGTCCCACTGTGGGGGGAGGGGGGGAGGCAGTGTGTGGCATCTCGGAGGATGTGAATTGCAGAGGTGCAGCTCTGATGTTGATTTACCCTCCACCACTTACTCCCCTCTCTCACATCTCCTTCGATCCTCACCCCCCAGCAGGGTTTCACTGCCACTCCGAGCTACGGCAAGGAGCCTGCTCCCCCTGTGGCCATTTGGAAGGGGCATTCATTCAACACCATCTCCGGCCGAGAGGCAGAGAAGTTCAGTGGCAAAGACAGCGGCAAAGGCGACAGCGATTTCAATGACAGCGACTCGGATATCAGCGGAGATGCCCTGAAGAAGGATCTCATCACACACATGCAGAACGGTAAGGGCTCAGCCCATCAGATGGACAGGCAGATGGGGAGGTGGACAGAGGGACCCATCCGTGGGGCACAGGGCGATTGCTGTGGAGGGGGAAACCTGGCTCTGAATAGCTCAAACTGCCTGTCGATGCAATGCTGATTCGTCTCCACGCTGAGTGCCCAGCACAAATTAGCAGATGCTGGAAGTACTGTAGGATTGGAGTTTTTTCCTCCCCAAAAAGATTCCCTTAAAGTTGGGATTGTGAGGAGTGTCCCTAGCAAAACGACATGACCTTCCCAAGGGTGTTTTCTTGTTCGTAGAACATCACTCCCAACTCCCATCATCAGTGCATTGAATCATCCCGTGACTGATAGCTCTGATTACGGATGATGTGGATTTATTCCTGCAGTAACGACAGGTTTCTCCTCTCTCTCTCTTTCTCTCTAGGTCTGTGGGCATGCACAGCCGAGTGCAAGATCCTGGGCCACTCAGACCGCTGCTGGAGCCCCTCCTGCGGCCGAGCCAACCCTCACCCCTCTCCCCATCCCTCGGCACCCCTCTCCACCTTCTGCAAGAGCACGTCCCTGCCCAGGGATCCTCTGCGCAGGGACAACTTTTACCAAGCCCAGCTGCCCAAAACAGTGGGGCTTCAGAGCGTGTATGAGAAAGTGCTGCACAGGGACTTTGACCGGACGATCACACTGCTCTCCCCACCGCGCCCCGCACGGCTCCCCGACCTACAGGAGATCGGGGTGCCCCTCTACCCAGCCCCCTCCAATAGATACCTGGGTCCCCAGACGGACACAGCTGAGAAAGTGTAGCCCAACACGCTCCCCACCCGAGTGCACGACGTCCCTGTGCGCACACGACTAGGTCACTCCTGAGAGCCTTTAAGTTATTGACCAGATCTGGTGTCGAACGTGTAAATATGCAAGATGTGCCTTAAAGATGAAGTTGTTGGGAAAGATTTCCAATCACATCAGTACTGTTTGATATTTGCAAACAAAAAAGAATTGTTTGTAGTTAATGTAATTTTTATGAAATGTGCAGTATTTAAATTTTTTTCATGTTTTCTACATTGAGGGGTTTTGTTTGTTTGTTTTTGGTTTACCCATGGCCTGCCATTTTTTTGTAGTGTTTTTAACCTGTACATTGTGTAATGTAATGTTTGTACATAATGAAAATTGGTTATATTTTTATATAATAAAAGCTTAAAATGGGAATTCTTGCCAAAGGAACTGTCTGAAAGACACAATAGTAATTAATAATAATATCCTGAATATGTAGAACCTTGTAAGGGAAATTCCTCTTTCTTGGTGTAATAATAATCTAAGCAACCCAGTGTACTGAGAAGTTTGCCTTGCCAAATGTGACTTGTGTTTCTTCAGTCTGTGGTCAAGTTAAATGTTATTTAATTGCCTTTGGTTCCTGTAATCTCTGTCACTGATAAACACTAATAAAGGTTTTGTGATGTGTCGGAGGGATCTGTTCATGGATTTCATGCTTCAGAGCATAGAGGTCTTTGCAGGTCAACAAAAGCATTTTGTGCAGAGGAATGCAATGGGGAGGAGGAGCATGAATGATGCTACTTTTAGTCTCACCCATCTTTCGTCTCCAGCAATTCCTCACTGGAGGTTTAGCTCTAGGGATTTTAATGGTGGGTTGCAGGGTTGGGGTGAGGGCGGTGTGACAGAGCTGGCCTTTGTGCTTCACTCCCTGGTCTGAGCACTTCCAGCTTGATCCTTCACTGGTGGGACGCAGCGTAATTTAAGGGAAGCAAGTGAAGCCACGTCCCTCAGCTGCAGTGCTCATGCTGTGCAAATACCTTTGCATCAGCAGCCACTTGAGCGCTTTGCTTTCTGATCTGGCTGAGGGGTTGGTTTGAGTTAGGCTGCACAGGTACGTGCTTAGATGTTTATCCTTGTTAAGGCAGCCTTACTAAAGGACTTGCATTTGTGTACATATATATATATATATGTACTTCAAGAGGAAGGACAGGGGTTATATTTGTGCATAAACCAGAAAGAAGAGATGTTGATTATGTTGAGATTGGCTGCGATACATGTTTTGTCTCCTCCCAGAAATGACAGTCCTAAAAATAATAAATCACCCAGAGCTTTGAAATTCCCTGCCCTCAAGATTTCAAGCTAAAAGCAGATTTCTAATCCTTATGCTGAAATCAGTTACGAAGTAGCGTTTGATGAAACAAACTGAAGCCTAAGCTTCAGTGAGTTTCTTCTTGTGTTCAAAAAAGTGCTTATACCAGAGATAACACTTCTGTGGAAGCTTTGATAGTAGTTTGAACATTTCCAAAAGGAAGAACTGCTCCTCACTTGGAGATACAATTTCACATTTTGAACAAATCAATAGTCCAGAAATTTGTACATGGGAAAGCTTTTGGGGTTTTTATCATTAATTCTTCATTTATATGTCTAATTAGTATGGTATATATATAGAAGATGACTCACAAAGAAAATATAAAGCCTTCTTATACATAAACAAGACCCTGTTAGACTCTGTGTCTCAAAATGTAAGTAGAAGACACTATCCCACCTGCATGTCCCTTAATCAATAGAAATTCCCTTTCCTCCCCAGCTCTCAGCTTTCTCCTGCCCATGTAGCAAGAGTAGCAGAGCCTGACCAATTTTTTAGACACACATGGTCTGAGTTTTAATAGGGGCTTCATAAAAGCCATTTCATGAAGATTTGTGGTGGGCAGAGAGCTCCAGAGGCTGTGCTGGAAGGGAATTGGAATCAGGCTGATGCAAGACTCAGCTGGAAAGCTTTTATGGTCAGAAAAGTAGGTGAGCATTTCTGGCATTCATCTAAACCCAGTAGTAAAAACTCATGATAGATCTAATGACCTAAGAGGGTCGTCTTGGATAAATATAGAGCTGAAGTTGTGGCCAAAGGGTGAGTGCTGAGAAGGCAGGCTGGGAGCCTCCCTGCCAGCTAATCCTCAGTGATGCAGAGCAGCAAGCCTGCATGTGAAGTAATTAGTCATAATGCTGAATGCAGGAAGGGAAAGGCTTTCCATCAAAAAGCAGGGCAGTCTGACGAGCTGCTTCTTCCCCATCTAGTTCAAAAGCCTGCGTTACATACTGCAGCACCTCCACAGCAGGACCCTAGGCTCTCCTGGGGGAGGCTGGCAGGAGGTAACCACAGCCAAAGAGGGGCTCATCGCATTGGGTTGGGATGCTGAATTCACATTGTTGCCTGCAACAGAGCCTATAAGCTTCTGTGAGTGGGTTAGTGCTCCTCGCTGCCTAATTAGGAGTTCAGGCCACCCCAATGTAAGGCAGTCTTGAAATGGAGGGAGAAATAAAGTCTCCTGTTCCTGTTCCCAAAGCAGCTTTCAACAGGAAGCTGCTACAGTCTCACTGGGGACAGGATCTGTCTCTTGCGTGCTGCCAGTAACATGTGGGATTCGTCCATGCAGCTTTTGAATCAGAGCCCATCACTTTGCAGGGACTCTCTGGTTAGTGGAAAGTTAGCGGTTAGTCTGTACTGCATCTGAGACCTTCTCATCTTAGCTTGGAAACACACAATGGGGACAGCTCAGATGCATCACTAAGGCTCCTGACTTCCCCTTTTCCTGTAAGGGCAAGGGGCAGCAGCCCAGACTCCTTTAACTTTTAGATGCCTAAAGTTAGGTGAGGGAAATCCCCAAGCTCCATCAGGTAAGAGCATGCATCATTCAAAGTGCAGATGAGTGGAGAGGGAAGCCCAAGGAGTAGCTCCTTGGCAGAGCCCCTTAAATTAAACGTTTGCTCTGTTGATGTTCTTGCACTGTGTATGCCCTAGTTCTGGGTTTTTTTCTTTTAGTTTTTAATTAACATAACTGAGATTTTTGCTAAAAGACTTCATAAATTAATGCAGACCTGTCAATTAAATTCCACTTATTCACCAAGCATGGTGTGGCGTCAGCCCTGTGTCACATGTGGTGGGTGAGACTGCGGCCACACAACCTCTCCATTGTGGAGAGCTGCCTTCTCCTGCCTGCCCTTCCCTGGTTCAGGGGCAGACGTGAGGAGGAGAAGGCATAGAGACACAAGACAAGAGACAGCACTCCAGAAAAGAGACAGCACTCTTGCCGTGAGCCAGCATTAATTCCGTGAAGAATTCCATGATGTAGCCAGACTGGCTACATCAGCTGGAGATCACAAAATCCCTAACACAAACCTTGAGCCTGCTCCTGCAGAAGTCTCTAGCAGTCACCCATGATGAAGCAAAGCACTCTTGGCTCCCTTAACCGACAGGGAAAAGAAATAGGCACTTTTAGCACAGAAATCATTTCCTTCTGAACCAGCCAGCTGAAATAGGTCTGGTGTATTGAGCTGAGAAGTTCCCCCTCCCTCCCTACATGCAGCCTGCAGTGGCAGTAGATGTTTGCACTATGGATATCCAACAGCTAGTGCAACAAATTTCACCCCATATGCTTGCAAAACCTGCCAGGTAGTTTGCTGATAGCAATTGCCATGAGACCATCTGATCTGAGCATACTGTCAGTGAGGCAAAATGAGGGAGCTGTAACCAAAGTAGGTTAGATGAAACTGAAAATACCTGGTAGCATCACTAGCATCAGGACAAGCCATTTTACCCACAATCAGGTGCTGGTGTCCAGTTTATTTGGCATCAAGGCAGAGGGCTAAAACAGCACAAACACAGAAGTGAGTAATTCCCAGACTCTTTCAGGTGTACCTGCACACCCATTAAGATGTAGCTGCAATACCCAGGACACACAGAAGTGATAATACAGCAACAGATCCATGAAATGCCTTTTCTCCTGAGTGGCCCAGAGATGTTCCAGGACTGTGGGCTTGCAACTGCCACCCTAGAGACCTCGGGCAGACATCCAAATCTGCTTTAATTGTCAATAAATTAAATTAATTTTCTCCAAATCTAGCCTGTTTTGCCTCTGACAGTAATTGGTAAGTGATCTCTATGTATCAATCTCATCTGATTTTCTCCCTCTGCTGAGGAGGGGAAGTGAGCAAGCAGCTGAGTGGGGGTCTGGCTGCTGACCAAGGCCAACCCACCACACACACCAACAAAACAAGATCCCAGAGATGCCTTCCGTAGCACTTTAGCCAAAAAATAAAGTCAAATTCCCACTGACCTGCTCTTCTCTCCCATGCCTCTTGAATGCCTTCAAGGATGTTTTATGTTTAATGATGTGTGATATGGTCAAACACCACAGTGAGGTGCCTGATTCTGGTTTCTGCAGTGCATGCTCTAGATACAGGGCTCCTAGTGAAACGGGGCAGCAGCACTCAAGCTTGTAAGTGGATATGTCTGTGACCTCCGGGATGGAGGCTTAATCCTGTGATCTCAACACATGCAAAAGATGCTCAGAAAATGCTGCCTGGAGCAGGCCATGAAGGCAAGAGACACACCGGGGTGGGATCTAGCTGAAGATGCAGGTAGATGTGCCTTTGGTGGCCAATGCATAGGGGTCTACATGATTGGCAGGCATCTATGTTCCTGTGGCAGACAATGAGGGCTGGAAGGGGAGGTCTAGGGGACAAAAGCACTCTCTAGTCTCCCATTACTGCATTGACTACCTCACCATTGTATATGACAGCAGATTAAGTACCTGCCTTACATACACGTGGATATAGAAATTCAGGTGGGTGCACTGTCACCAGAGGGGATGGTCCACCCTCTCTCCATCTCCAGTTTCATTATGTCATGACTCCTTTGCCACCAGCACCCAGGAAAGTCACCTGCCCATGGGCAGATGTATGAACGTACCAAAACCAGGTAGGTTTCTGCAGGTTTAGCTCAGTCAGGAGTCAGGCGGATGTCAGACAGTATCGGGAAGGAGGCAAAGAGTGAGAAGGCCCCCAGGCCCTGGGAAGAAGGGAGGACTGTGCATTTGGACAGCAGACAACAAATAGTTCAGCATCTATGTAACACCTCTGGAGGCTTCTAGGCAATTTCAAGGTTGGCCAAGGAGGACCATAGTGCTTTACTCCTGATAATGCCTGCTCACTTCTCAAATGTCACCAAAACCCAAATTTAGGCTGAAGTGGACTAGTAACTGGGGAGAAGTAAATGTTACTTCCCACCATATATGCCAAGGTCTTCAAGCCTTCTTTATTTAAGAGGATGCTTTAGAGAAGATCCCTGGAGTTGGGTTTCTTCCTCTTCAAGCAGTGATAAGGATCCCTCCGCTTGCCCATCCTTCCCAATGGATGCAAAATGCTGGTTTCACACTCATGCCCACAATGCCTGTGGCAGTGGGATCCCCACCACTCTCAGGGCTCCTGGGGAAACACTGCCCATCCAATGTTAATCATGTTGTGAGAGTTACAGGGAGCCAGGTACCCTGACACAGGCAGGTAGGGATGTAGGGATCAGGAAAGGGACTGGCTTCAGTGGGTTCTCCCGTTGCCGCAGTGCCTGGGGAGGGTTAAAATCCTGGGAGCTGAACTGGAAAAGGAGCAGAGGGCCACCAAGTTGAGAGAAGTAGTGACTT